GAACGGCAATGGCCGTGGCTGTCTCCTCCTGATTGGTGGAGTTGGCCCAATAGCCGTAGCGCCACTGTCCTGACGTCAGGAAAGTGTTCAAATCTGGATCAGTTTTTATCAGATCCGTTGCAGCCCCTTTTTTTAGAGATTTGGGTATGGAGGAAAATAGAGAGGGTTGTGTTTTCTGACACTTGGTGAGTTCCCTGGAACACCGGGGACACATATTCATGTATAAAAGACGTACAAAAGTGTATTTTGCATGATAGGTTCCCTTTAAATATGAAAAGGTTCAACTATATGGGCTCAGAACTATGGGCTCAGAACAGTCTCATAATACACACATGCATACAGAAGGATTCACACTTGTATTTCATGATCCGCAAAAGGATTTACACTTGTATTTCCGGATCCACACTTGTGTTTTTCAATGCACACACAAATGTGTTCCGTTTCATATACATGTAAATAAAATCCAAATACAGAAAAAAGTTTTACATATGTATTTTTGATCCTCACATATTTGTTTTCCGTTTAAAACCGCTGCACCTACAAACACAAACCGCTTTCTGTGCATGGATCGCTGTGCATTCGTGTGTGGGTTTTTTGAGACTCCCCTGACGGTCACCCGATTCATACTTGTAATTTTTTCTATCTATAGCCAATCAGATGTCTCCTTCATTCTAAGCCAATCACATGAGCGCATCCCCACGAGGGTATGATTTATTGCGTTCATGACACTTCATATACGCATTTTGCGGTGTCCGGAGCAAGGTTTCCGCGGACAGAATTTGTTTTACCGGACAAATTTGAAACTTACCGGTCATGTTTCAATAATAATAATAATAATAATAAGAATTGTGTAGCAGAGTTTCCGTTAGCAGGTAATTACCGGACTATGACCGGATATGGCGGGAGTAAGGATCATCTCTTTTTTCCTCTCTCCCTCCCTCTCTCCTGACAGCCCGTCAGTTTCTCATGCAGCTCGCTAAAACTTCACTCGCGTTTATGTCCATATCGATCAGATCCAGCTCTCCTGATCGGCCTTTATAGAGAGCACCGATCAAACTATTAAGAGTGAATATCGGCCGATAATGACCGGCGGGGCTCCCCCCCGTTGACAGTTCACTGTCTAGCACTGGCTTCGTAGTGCACTGATCGATTAGGCTAAGCTAACCTGTAGCTGCTCCCTCCACACTCACAACAACTTCATACAGACATAAATAAAGCAGCTGTATTCGCCAAACAGGAAACACACATTTAAAACGGTTTTGCCTGCCGTTTTTGTGTACACAAGCATTCATTAATGGTTCGGAAAGTGGCACTGTACCTTAATAATATAAAGGCTTGTATTTGCGTGCATTTCCTGCTCGGAAAGTGGCAATGTACTGAGAGTGGAAGTGTCCTGAGATTAGCGCCTGCAGGCAGGCTCCATGGACCTGTCAGCTCCGGACAGCGCAAAATGCGTACATGAAGCGCTACGTCATGAACGCAAGAAATCTACCCTTGTGGGGGCGCGCTCATGTGATTGGCTTAGAATTGAGGAGACATCTGATTGGCTATAGATAGAAAAAATTACAAGTGCGAATCGGGTGACCGTCAGGGGAGTCTCAAAAAACCCACACAGGAATGCACAGCGATCCATGCACAGAAAGCGGTTTGTGTTTGTAGGTTCAGGCGATTTAAATGGAAAAAAAAATATGTGAGGATCAAAAATACATATGTAAAACTTTTTTCTGTATTTGGATTTTATTTACATGTATATGAAACGGAACACATTTGTGTGTGCATTGAAAAACACAAGTGTGGATCCGGAAATACAAGTGTGAATCCTTTTGCGGATCATGAAATACAAGTGTGAATCCTATTGTGTGCATGTGTGTATTATGAGACTGTTCTGAGCCCATACAACTACGCACACATACATAATCTCGGCTCGCGCAGCACGCTCACAGGCATAGATTGCGCAATAATGTATTGCGCACCTTGCATATTGTCATTCAAGAGATGCGTAGTTCTTTTGGAAAACATGTTTTTCTTTTAGCCTATTTACCTCGCTAACGTAAATAATACTCATTACATTGACACATGCATTATTTGTGATTAAAATAATGGTATTTGGTAATGTATTAGCGACCCCCACAGATGTATGATTTCACTGCGTCCGTGGGAGCGCAGACCCTCCTTAAGGGAGCTCAACTCCCATTGGCTCACACATAACTCAAACCCTGATTTGGCGGCAGGTCAGCCTTTAGTCAGCCACTAATGTCGCGGTTTTTACGGGGGGTCAGGAGGCTGCGCCCAGTAGTGCACGCCTCTGCCCCGCAGTGGGACCTGCCGCTGGTGCTCGAGGCTCTGGTCACAGAACCATTTGAGCCTCTGGAGCTCTCCTCCCTGAAAGCACTGTCGTGGAAGACAGCGTTGCTACTTGCCTTAACGTCAGCCAAGAGAGTGTCCGAGTTAACCGCTCTATCGGTGCACCCGAGTTGCTTGTTGATCGGGGGTGACCGGAGCGGGGCGACACTCAGACCGAACCCCTCCTTTGTGCCCAAGAGCCTAAGGAGTGTGTTCAGGTCGAGGGCTATTCGGTTGGGGGGCTTTAATCTTCCACCCCATAGTGGGGCTAGGGAGGCTAAATTGCACCTCCTCTGCCCGGTGCGTGCGCTAGCATGTTATGTGGAGCCCACGGCTGCCCTTAGACGCACTGAACAGCTGTTTGTGTGCTTCGGGGGTGGGGTGACTGGGAAAGCCCTGTTCAAGAAACACCAGGCCCCTTCTTAACGTTTTATCTCTTGGACATGTCTGGCTCCTTTTCATTCTGTGCTTGCTGGGGCAACACAGGACTGGTGAGGAGGGAGGGGGGTTGTGGGTCAGTGGGCATCTGACCCCCTCCCCGGGCGTAATAAGCTTACGTTTCCCCCAGGGGGACGTGGCGCGCACTGGGCCCATAAGGGGCTGCTTTAGGGCAGGAGGGGGGAGCCCTCCATGTCATAGTCCATACACGCTCTTCGCGAGGTAAGCATGTCTGAGTGTGGGACATGGGGCACTTGCGCTCTCCCCGTGCTCCTTAGGGACTCGGGAGAGGTGGTGCATAGTGAGCCCATACGGGGCTGAGGACTCTCTCCGTCTGCCTATGGGCGGAGGGTGGGAGCCCTCAGCGCTGTTTTCCGAGCACACCTTCGCGAGGTAAGCGCGTCAGAGTGTGCTCTGTCAGCCGCAGCCCCAACTTCTCCACGGTTACGACCGAGGGAGAGGTGAGTGAGGCGCAGCGGCAGCTAACCAGAAAGCCGGTCAGAGACAGTGAGATGGAACAGTGTTATTGTGGGAAGACAGCGCGTGTATACATCGGGGCTCCGCCCACTGTACCCATAGAGTCCAGTAGAGGGCGGAGCCTGTGAGAGATATAACGAGGGGTTACGTATGGTAACCCATGTTATATAAGCACAGGCGGAGACCTCTACTTGGGGGCCCTGTCTGTCCTATGCTGCTCGCTGAAGAGAAGTGTAGGATAACGGGAACGGGAGGCGTGGCCGCCTTATATATGGTGGGCTTGTGCACGCATTCAGGTAGGCCCACCCCGGGGCCGGCTACGTCTATAGAAATCTCAGTAGGTGAATGCTTGCATGATAAGGTAGTGCCCATAGAGTCCAGTAGAGGGCTCCGCCTGTGCTTATATAACAAGGGTTACCATACGTAACCCCTCGTTTTTACAATATACAGACAGTTATTCATAGGGTAAGTATGTAAGAGTGTTATCTTTATAGTACTTTAATTGATTGTTTTGTCCGATAATCTAATAATTGTATAATTTCTGGATTTCTTAAAAAAAATAATGGAAATAGGAGTTTATGGTTTGAGTGTTTTATTTGGGTGTGTCTTCTAATTCCTCGGAAATAAATCATCGGTAATATAAATGATAATTATAAGTGATAAAACGCAGATAGCAAAACAGTACAGTAAGTCATATAACCGTTGCTTAATTTCTGAGGAATTAAAAACAGACCCTGGGATAATGAGCCGATAACAGGAACTAATGTGATATCTCACAAACTTTGCAAACTAAAATGTTCTCTTTTGTCTTGGAAATAAAACAATTGAAACCATAAATTGCTGTTTCCAGTATTTTTCTTGACATTGGAGTAACTGTCTGTATATTGTACACAAAAAAAGGTGGGCATTGATGGTACCGGATAAGCATTCAGGTATTTGGCAAAACTGAAAGACAGATTCCTCAGGTGTGATAAAATAGGACAATATGTTCCTTATATGGTTCCCATTTCAACCTACCACACTGATGAGTACTCTGGCATGTTAAAATAAGAGGACGTACTGTATCTATGTTATACAGCCTGACATTATAATTTCAACAGAGAATGTATTTATGATTAGAAACAAGCATGGAAATACAGCCGCATATAAAGACTTCCAATTTGCATGTTGTATGCTTAGACACATATTAAACTTTATCATTAAAATATATGGGCCAATAAAATGATACTGCACTGCTGAGTGACAAACACATTCTCATTGTCAATGTACTGTCTTTTGTGGGGTTTAAATATACAGGCGGTTACAGAAAGACAAATGTTCTCAAAAAGGTGAAAGTAAAGGGGGGAGTTCAAGTGTGTATTTTAAGCTAATGGATCTACAGCAGAAATGTATTTGTTAAATTAATTTGAGCCATCGAGAGATTAGGTAAGGCCGTGGAAAAGAGTGATGAAACCATGAGGACGAGGTTGAGAATGAACAAGCAATGGAGCACACATGAACACAAAAACAACTTGTGTTTATTAATGTTTCTCTAGATTTTATTTGACCAGTCAATCCCTTACCATAAATTGGACCATGGTGCAAAGATCAGTAGATAAAGTCATAATAGTTAAACTATGTTTCAGGAAACAAGATGATGAAAAAACTGGGCATTAGCCTGTAAAAGAAAAAAAGGGAAAAGTCCGCACAAGGCGAAGGGGCAGTTGCATCTGATCTCATCCATCCTATAATCCAACCCTCTTCCTTGCTAATGGCTCACCCAAGTCCCTCCTCTTATTTGTTCTTTATCTTCTCCTTTAAATTCTTCCTCCTGTCCTGTTCTCGATCAAATTATAGGACCAGGCAACCAAATCAACTTTCAAATAAAGGTCAGTTTTTGCTTTTCTGTAGTGTTAGAATGATTTTCTGTAGTGTTTGTATTGAATTAAGAAAATTATGGATGAGGAACGGCTGATTTCCGTTCAATTCTGAACTAATTGATTGCCCTTTGTATTAAATAACCTTACTGTTGACATTTTTTTTTAAAGCATTCAGAATACTCTTTTTATTCTCACAGCTAACACAACTATTTACGTCCAAACTTTAGAGCTTTAATCCTTCATACCATGAGCACCAAAACCACAAAGTCCTATCATGAAGGGGCCTACCTGTCCCTGATGAAAGGCTTGAAAGAGCTGGACCTCAATGGCCCGTGTGTTCCCTGTGACCTGGTGCTGAATGGAGACCATGCCTTTCCTTTAGCAATCGACAGCCAAGGCCAGGTCTTGATGGCAGCCTCTCGGTACGGCAGAGGAAGGATTGTGGTCCTCGGTCACGAGGGCTACCTGACCACTTTTCCTGATCTGGTAGAGAACGCTGTGACCTGGCTGAGAGGAGAAGGATCTGACAACCTCACTGTGGGGGTCAACAATTATGTCAAGGCTGTCGCTGATAACCTCATCAAATCTGGCTTCAAAGCCAAAGTTGTTGGGTCCTTTAGTGACAGTAGGGAAGTTGGTGTCTATGTGACAGATGCCTATGGCGTGGAAGCAGGCGCAAAAGATCTGGTGGCATTTCTGAAAGCTGGAGGAGGAGTGCTGATAGCAGGTCAGGCATGGCACTGGGCTTCAACCAAGCCAAAAGAGAACACACTGCTACAATTCCCAGGGAATAAAGTGTCTGGTGTGGCAGGGATCTACTTTACTGCGCATTGTGGGAAGGTAGAGATCCTGCCTGTCTACCCTCAGATCCCATCCTCATGGATCACTTTACGGTCAGTTAATACTCCTCTTCCATTTCACATTAGTGACTAGTGAAACATTTTCTTCTCCTGCTCCAACCATCTCCTTCTGTGTCTCTCTACCCCCTCTGTCCTGCAGTGTTCGTAAAAATGTTGAGGAAGACCTGAAGATCTTGCTCCAGGGTGTTTCAGAGTTTGACCTCACCGATGATATATTTGGTTCTGAGGCACTGGTCCATGGCCCGTTAGCCTTCCCCATTGGTACCACTGAGGATGGACGGCCGTTTCTTGCAGGAAGCTACTATGGACGGGGGCGGGTTGTTGTGATAACACATGAAGCGCCTCTGACGTCACATGTACAGTCTGAATTCTTGATTATTATTAGAATGCTGTCTTTCTAAGTTCAATTGAAAACAAGATAAAAACTTTGCTACAGTATGTCAAGTCATTTCCTTTGTATGATCTTAACTTAATCACTGGAAGTTTGGTTTCTGCAGTGTGCTTATTAATGTTTTTTGCCAAACCATTTTCCATGAGTAAATACTGTCTCTTTTGAAATAACGTGTTTCATTACAGCAACTGGCTCCTTTCTGGAAAAATGCCATCGATTGGTTGGACCAAGGCAGGAAGGGGGTCATTGGTGTTCAGCCTAACCACAATCTTCTCAGCAAGTCAGGGTTAAAGTACAAGGAGACGGCGTTCAGGACAGACCTGAGCGTATTTGTGTGTAGAGCGTACGACAATCAGCCTGTGGAGGAGATCCAAGACTTTGTAGCAGAGGGAGGAGGCCTGCTGATTGGTGGGCATGCATGGTACTGGGCACAGACACATCCTGGAAAAAACCCAATAACAGATTTCTCAGGTATGATAATGTGCCATAATAATTGTACTGTTTCCTATTTCAACCCACTGGCACTAACAAGATGGCATTGTTTGAACCCTGTTTGCTTTGACACATATCAGACACAAGCATGCAAATGCTGCCCCACATAATTACTGATACAGTGCATATTTCAATGCCTCAACAGTTATCAGGCACAGACATATAAATACAAATCAACATAATGACTTCTACAGAGCTAAGGGAGAAACACATTTGCTGTTTCAGATAACTAGATAGATAGATATATAGATAGACAGACAGATAGACAGACAGACAGACAGACAGACAGACAGACAGACAGACAGACAGACAGACAGACAGACAGACAGACAGATAGACAGATAGACAGACAAACAGATAGCAGCAACTATGTACATATCTACAGTATAAATGATGTGAACCACAAGAATACTCAATATAAAATGTTCTAGATATTTTAGACTGTTACAATATATTACAGTAACATATATTAATATGGTAGTATATAAATTACAGTTGTGTAAAGCGCAGTTGTGCCAAAATGTTCATGGTTGTTCATGGGAGGAGGAACCAAAACGATGTAGCAGTGAGTTCTCTGCCAGCCAGAGGTGAGTTATTATAAAGTGTTATGGCAGTAGGCAGGAATCTGCCTGGAATCCTGTATCTGTCCTTGTGACAGCGGAGCTGGAGCTGTCTGTTGGAGAAGGAGCTCCGCTGTCTGTCCAACTGTTGGAGGAGAAGTTGGGTGGGGTTATCCATAATGGACAACAGTTAGTACAGGAAGAATCACAAAGGTGGGGTTTTAAATACAGATAGTTAGCCAGGAAAGGACACATGTTCGAGTAGAGTTGAATGCAAAAAGGCGGGGCTGATATATGGGACCATATATTTTAAGCTGGTGGAACTGCGTCAGAAAAATAAAAATGTAATTGTTGCAATAAATTTAGCCGGTGTGAATGTCAGTCAGGCAGTGGAGAACACTAATGACACCATGAGGACAAGATGGGAATGACAGAATAAAAGTTATCAGACACATCAGTCAAATCAGACTAGGTAGGGTGTCATTTCAATGCAGCAGGTCTAATATCCGTGTTTATCAGTACAGATCTTTGTTTAAGAATACACATTCTGGGGCCACTTGGACATGCTTTCAGTGATGAATCATGGGGTTTTAAGGTGTTTAGTTTCTGAGTCAGGTGTTATACTTCTAGAGTAAAATCCGGTGTTACCTGGGTCAGTGATTACGGTCTGAGCATTCTCAAAATCCTCCTTGATTCTGCGGTACCTCATAATCACTGTAGGAGAAAATATTGAATAAAAATGACCAGGAACTTATTTCACAGAAATTAAATCAGTTAAAAATGTTTTATCTTCTTTCCGTCTATTTCCCATTTAGCTATAGAAGGTTTAAGAAAGTTTCATTATTGCTATTCTGTTGTTATATTGCAACTATTTTGGCCATTGCTGCCAATTGATAGCACATCATGCTGTTGACAGTGTCTTTGTCCTTTCTCTCTTTGGTCGGTTTTTGTTGGCAGCATTTAGGATTAATTATCCCAGGTCCCTCTTTAAAAAAATAAACATTAGTTTGCAATGTTGGGTTTGGTTTGGTTTTCCATGGGTCTGTTATGGATCAGTGGAATATCTAGCCAAATCAATGAAACCATGCTGCTGCTTTACTGTATACTGACATGTTACAGATCTCTGATTAACTTACATTTAAGTTATATCATTACCACTTTGGTTATATGGGGATTCTTTTTGACACAGCCCATCAAACCCTGACTATAAAAGCTGGAGTATTAACCCATTAAATTAAGACATGTTTGTTGAACTGTGTTTCAGGAAACAAGATCCTGAACACATTGGGCTTGAGCCTTATGGCGGCAACAATTCCAGGAGGTTCCTACAAGGCTACTGTGCCCAGCCATGAAATGACGTACACCTGCCACTTTCGAAACCTCCTACGCAGCTTTGCTGGTCATGTTACACAAGGCAAAGAACTCTCCAAGCATGAGGGAAAACAACTTGAAAAACTGGGCCTGGAGTGCAGCAACTTCCTGATGATGAAGTCTTATGACAGCTACTCCTACACACAGGTGCTGTCCATCCTCACTGACATTGTGAAGAAGTCCGGCATGCCACAGGTGGGCTGATTTAATATTTCACATGATTGAGTTTAGTATGTGTAAAAAGAGGGATGCTGTTTGTTATTATTTATTCAAGTAACAATTCCTTTTAGGGATATAGTCCATTGTTTTGGTGCATCTACGCAGTCGAACATGTAAAAGTAATGAATATACTGTTTAATATAAATAATTCTAAAACAATATTCATATTATATCAGAATATAATATTTAGAAGTTAACAAATGTTGAATAGTGTGTGGTGCCAGTGAATCGGAGATCAGTGTCTTGGCTATTGAGAGAACAGGATTTGTGAAATGGATATGTTTTATTATTTTTATTTTAAGGTGAGTGAGGAAAACCCTGTAAAGAGTCCAAAAGACCACTTGCTCCTCAGATTGGGGAAAGAGGTCTATGATGTATCCCCAGATCCGGAAGCTCTCCTTTCGTACCTTATCAAGGATAATCACATGCCTTTCGTCTATAACCGAAAGCTGAGGATAAGCACTATCACAGCAGGTCAGACCACACTGTTGTGAAAAAATGTAACATAATTGTGAGATAAACTTGCAGACCTTTACTTCGTCTGTATTTAATATAGAATGTAGCATGTAGTGCTGTGTTTTTGATATCTTTGAATTTAAATAATGATGGCAGATTTTGTTCTTGTTCATGTCCTACATGCACTATAACGTTTGCTGCTCTTTTTGTGTGTCAGATGAGAATGAGTGGATCAGTACAGGTCTGTACCTCTCTCCTGGTATGAAGACAGAGATGATCCTACCAGCAAACATCGTCAACAAGAACTGGATGGTACAGTACATAAATCATATAGTTTTCATGTGTTTGATGCAAATTTAGAACATCAATTCAGGTCCACTCTTATCAATAATGCCCCAAATCACAGATTTTCCATTGAGAGCAATATAATCTTTGAAATGACAACACTCTCTAAATATTTATATTAAGTAAAATGTATTAATATTATATGCATATCTATGTCAGACATATCAACAAATCAATTTTGCAATCAACATCTGCAACATTGCAAGGCCTTTTATTAATTGTTATCAGGTTAAAGAGATCTTTTGGGCCTTGATAAGTAGAAGTTGCTGTAATTTGTTGAGAATACAAGGTTATGGTTTATGTGAAAGGACCAAGGAAATTAGATATTTCTGTTCTCACATACGGTCCTATAATGCGGCCATTGATTTATGCTAGAATAGCCCATTTTGTGTCCAATGTAGGGTGTTCTTCAACTGAAAAATGAAACTACAGCACAGCAGACTTTATAAAGAGGTTTTCAAAGCAGCAACATGTTCTATATCTCCCTCAGATCCAGATAGGTTGCCAAACAGACTACTTGCCTCAGGATGAGTTGAAGAGAGCAAGATCTGTGTGTGAGCTATTTCCTGTCACAGCAGAGAAGATGCAGGTGTGGAACCTGTGGGGGGGACTCATCTACCTGGTGGCTCCACCCAACACAAAGGTGGAGGGGGCGGAGGTCATGGTGCAGATTGCTATGCCTGCTCCTTACTACAAGTCTGGTGAGTGTGTGTTAAAATCTGCCCGTGCTCTTCAGATAAACGTATTGACATCATGATGCAGTTTTGCTGCTTGCAGGACTAGGGTCCTCTCTAGTTTATTCCTCACAAAAGATTTAAAGCCTATAACTGGATGAATCTTTTAGGGGCAAAATGTTCTGTTAGGTCGCTGTTGACCCCATTCAGTTTAAACCTTAATGGTAGTTTTGATACACAAAAAAAGTCTAATTTAATTAAATAAATAATGTACTCGACGATTCAAAAGTTTTGAAGTTCCTGCTAAAAAAGCATGATAACATGAGATGAAAATACTACTATATATTTGTAATTATCTTGCTTTTAGGTTGTAGAAGTTGTCCTCTTAACAATAGATAATATATTGTATGATTAGTTTGCAAACATAGGTGTAAAGTATTCTCTTTTAAATCATAAAGCTTTTGGCCCCCATACTTCCTCTAATCTTTCCCCAATGGATTATTTGAAAAATAATCACAATCTTGCAAAGCCATTTTTTTTATTTCACCTCAACACCAATCCTGTTTTCATTTCAGGTGTCACAACAGCAGCTGATTGGTTGTCGCTGCGCACAGCTCCAGCACCCTGGGCAGAGTTTGAGTTTGACAACATCATCCTTACCGTACCATCAGATGTTGTTAGAAAGTTGGAGCGTCCTGATGAGGTGGCAGCGCTGTGGAATGACATCATGAAGGGCATTGCAGATCTGGCTGCTAAACCAAACACATTTTCCCGCAAAGAACGTTTTGTGGCAGATGTGCAGATTTCTGCTGGTTAGTGTTTGTGCTGTCACATTCTCACATATTCAATTGATAACTTTGCTGCATGTGTTGTAAAAGATGAATGACATTTGTGTTTTTTTCAACCCATGAACTGTGATTGAATACAAAGAAAACTAGGGGTGGGGGAAATCAACGATACAGCATAGTATCGCGATACTTTGCGTGGAGATATTGTATCGATACATGGAAGCCAAGTATCGATATTTTATTATATAAACTGAAGCATATCCATCCGAAAGATGGTCGTACACTTGACCAGGGCCGCCCCTCCCCACTTGCAGATCACGCAGACTGTGTGGGGCCTCACCTTGCTGAGGGGCCCTCATATTGTGGACGATCTATGTGCGAATGCGGCGCAATTAATCTTATGCGCAAATGCGTTTCACAGTTTCAGTTTCCCCGCTGCGAGGCTCCGGCGCTAACAGCTCCGGTGATCCACTAGCACTCCTTAACAAAAACAATGCCATCTCCTTTTCAGGTTCAAAGAACACAAATTAGGTTATTTACATAAACTATTCATATTGCAAATCCAAATTAAAGTTTTGGTGACAATTGCTTTTTCAATCCACTAGATGGTGTTGAGCTTGTTCTTGTGGGTCATGGCCATGGGTAAAGTCAGTGGGATTGGCAGGAAGTTAGTCAAAACAAAGATGGAGTCAACGGAGAAAGAAATCAGAAATGCGACGGTCGCGTTTTAATCAAAGGTGTGGAATTATTTGGGATTTTTTAACCAGGAAGGGAAGAAGGACATGGATATATGACGCATGTGATTTGCAATATTGCAGTATATCGTATCGCAATACTTAGCATATCGTAGAATCGCAATACTATCGTATCGTGGCTTAAGTATCGTGATAGTATCGTTTCGTGGGGAGCCTGGTGATTCCCACCCCTAAAAGCCAGCATGCATTAATTAACAGGATAGAATTGCATTTTATTGATTGTAATTTTGATAGTAGCCAGGATTAATGGCGTAAATATTGTTATGTAGTTTCCATTTGATGTAATGTCTGCATTTCTACATAGTATTTTTGATCTTGTGTATTGTGTTTGGGACACACATGATTCAGAAATGTAAAGGCAGTGATAATGTACTTTAGTTATTACTATCTTAATGAACTGCTATGGCATGCATAAGACATAAGCTCATCACAGTGAATTACAAAATGTACAATCTCTCCAAATCTTTGTGTAGATATTTTGGAAGATACATTCCTGTGTTACTTATTCCTCTTGATTCAGGTTGGATGCATGCAGGCTATCCCATCATGATACACACAGATTCAGCTACAGAGCTCTTCAGACCAGATTCTGCCAAGACTGCAGGCCTGTGGGGAGAAGTTCATGAACTGGGACACAACCAACAGAGAAGCTGCTGGGAGTTCAGACCACACACCACAGAGGCCACATGCAACCTGTGGTCAGTGTATGTGCATGAAGAGGTGCTGGGGCTCAAAAGAGAAAAGGTATGAAGAAGGATATCATATATCAGTATTTTCAAACGTATGACCAAAGGCCCAATAAAGCTACATCTCTAAGAGTATTATTGTATTGAGAGACATTTTCATATTAGAGTTCAATCTCTCTTGTTATTTCCTACTTGTAATAAAATGACTTGACTGTGTTCAATACAGGCTCATCCATCGATGATCTTGACAAATCGGAAGAATACTGTAGATAAGTATGTTAAGGGAGGCAAGAATCTCAGCGACTGGAATGTGTGGACGGCCCTGGAGACATACCTGCAGGTGAAAGAGAGTTGATGTGTTTTACAGTACATTATGTGGAAAAAATATGCTTGGGTTAGATGACATTCAACATTCATTCAGAATGGGAATGCTAAACAGCTTGAAAATGCAAAGAAGTAGATGCAATAGAAAAAGAAAACTGTTGATATTACCATTTTTGGATCGGATCCAATGTGATTGGTCTGGTAAATTTACCAATTCAAGGCGATTGATCCTCTCCATTCATACTCTACAGTGCATGCTAACATTTGCATGTTAATGGTAAACTAAGGTTTTGGACTGATTGACCACGCCACGGTTTATCCGTCAGCACCATCATTGTTTAGATAAAATGCTTGTGAGGATTCTTCTATTTTATGAAAGTTAATTGTTCTACTTTTTCATAAACTCTATTTCCTTCCATGTAGCTCCAAGAAAGGTTTGGCTGGGATGCCTTTAAGAAGGTGTTTGCTGCCTACCAACAGATGAGCAACTTTCCCAGCGAGAACGATGCAAAGATGAACCTGTATGCTGAGACCTTCTCCCAGACTGTGGGGATGAACCTGTCTGCGTTCTTTAAGGCCTGGAGCTGGCCCATCGACAGAGCCACTGAGGAGATACTCAGCAACATGCCTCCCTGGAGCGACCACCCCATGGTCCAGTATGACTGAACTTCCAACTGCAGCGGAGTTCATTCCAGAGCGATTTGTGTTATAACTGGCATTCATTTGGGTAACAGGGTTTATTGTAATAGTTGTACTAGTGATTTAACCTAATAGTGAAACGATGATAATAACTAAACTCAAATTGAAAAAATATATTCTTCATAAAAAATTTAACAGATTACAATTACACTTCTATGATTATTCATGAAAGCTCTAAAACATGTTGACTCCCCCTTGCAGCTTAAAGCAGTTTAATACAGCTGGTTAGTCTGTAAATCACAGACACTCCATAGAGCTGTAGAGATGGGTGATTATTATCTTTATATTCATCATTATGAGCAGATACTTTTTACTTATGCAGATTAATGTGGCTCACTGTCAATAAAAATGCAACAAAATAAGCAGCTTTATCTTTTTCAGCAACAATAATACAATTGGTAATTGTTTCATTAGATTTAAGGCACTATTATGAAAGCCACCTTAAGTACTTAATTCAGGGTCATTTAACTCAAATACCATCAGAGATATGTTTCTTGTTGGGATCAGTAAGATGTGTATTTCATTGATGGATTTCTTTATAATAACTTCATATTTTCCAGTTGTATACAATTGATGACAAATAAACAGTTATTTCATCCCTGTATTGATTTGGACTCATCTATTGTTGGTTGAATGAGAATACTAATAAGGAAAATGTCAATTTTAACCTTTGTGTGATGTTTTGGTCAAATTTTAGATTTTTACCAGTGCCTTGGCAAATTCTCTCGAAAAATGTGACCCGTCTACAATACTGAGACATTTAAAACACACACAAACTCACTCAGTCACTCACTCAGTTGCTCACATAGTCACCACACACACACACACACACACACACACACACACACACACACACACACACACACACACACACACACACACACACACACACACACACACACACACACACACACACACACACAGGGCCGTATCCACCATTGAGGTCACCGAGCTGCGTATAAAAAAACTTGTGAAATAACGGCACTAAACGGGGTTCTTTGTAGTACTTCCATTTACTGACAATGGAGGGCGCTGCATAACTACGTAGCCTCGATTAAAGCAAACAGAAGAAGAAGACATGTATCAACAAATCACTCAGCAGCCCGGACTTGTATCGGAGCAGCGGAGGAGTGATGAGGTATCTAGAAATCTGAGTCCAGCGGGCTGCTTGTGTTTCTGTTCATCAGGACATCATATGACCAGCAGATCCTGTGTGAACGCTCTACGTTAGTCAGTGGACGTCCGACAACATGCACACTAACTTATATTGCAGCTATAGGCTATACTTTGGTTTAAATTGCGTGAATAAACTAGCTAGAGAGCTAAAGTTAATTACATTCATCCAATGTCAGAAGGATTACCTTTTAACAAACGTTGTAATGCTTTTCTTTCATTTAAATTTGAGTAAAACATTGAAGATATAACATTGTATTGTTTTCTTTTTACACTGACTCAGATATAATGAAAAGACTACGCCAGTCGAAGCTCAGCTTTGGTAAGGAAGAGACAGGACAGGCAGAGAGAGAGAGAAAGTGATGGAAGTCAGGGAGGAACTGCAGGTACAGTCACACAAAAAGAATGTAGGCTTAATAACCCCATCTATCTATCTATCTATCTATCCATCTATCTATCTAGTTATCTATTTATCTATCCATCTATCTATATCTATGTATCTATGTATCCATCTATCTATCTATCCATCTATCTATCTAGTTATCTATTTATCCATCCATCTATCTATCTATCTATCTATCTATCTATCTATCTATCTATCTATCTATCTATCTATCTATCTATCTATCTATCTATCTATCTATCTATCTATCCATCTATCTATCTATCTATCTATCTATCTATCTATCTATCTATCTATCTATCTATCTATCTATCTATCTATCTATCTATCTATCTATCTATCTATCTATCTATCTATCTATCTATCTATCTATCTATCTATCTATCTATCCATCTATCTATCTATCTATTTATCTATCCATCTATCTATCTATTTATCTATCTATCTATCTATCTATCTTCATTTACACTATCGACAATAGGCATACTTTTAACAACATACATCTATTGCAGTTATGATGTCATAATAACATACAATTGTATAAAACACAATTTGCTTACATCTTTGTTCTCTTTTGAGAATCAAACAAAACAGATTTAAATTAAAAAAAGAATGCAAACAAACAAGTGAAATTAACTAAATTGCTGAATTGCTTTTAATTCACTGGCAGGAGCGACAAGTGAGGAGGAGCAAAAAGTGAACAACGAGGGAGAGATTGAACAAAGAGAAAGAGTAGAGGACAGAGAGAGTAATGAACAGGAAGAGGACAGAGATACTAAAGAAGATGGAAGAGAGGCTGCAGGTTATGGAAAGGAGAGAGACATGGAAAATGAATGTTGACAATGTTTTGGGATCATTTTAGCCTCTTCTGCATGTCCTGGGGCCTCATTTATAAAGGGATATACGCTCAAAAAATGGCGTACGCCAGTTTCTACGCAATGTTTGCGATTTATAAAATACTAACTTGACGGGAAAATGTGCTGTCCTCCACGCAAACTCTAACCCATGCGTACGCACTAAGCACAACAACGGGAGAGACGAGAAACTGCGACACCGTTGGCAGAAGGAAGAATGGAGAGAAATATGTGGAAATAAATAAAATGTTACCTCTCATTTATCATATATGAAGAATTCATTTTCAAACATTGATTAAAGCCAATCTTAAAATGATTAAACAAACGCCTGTTTGAGACTCCTCAGTGCACACAAAAACATAACTTGGAGAAATAAATAAATACGGATATGTTATTTAAAACCACCTCGAATATGTTGTGTTAATGTTATGAAATGTTTTCTCATAAATGATGCGGTAAGCAGGAGGACAGAATTACGTCTAAACTGATGCCGTTTTGCATTTCTATAGGTTGTAGATACGAGCGTGGTTTTATATACTATCACGTTTAATCGTTTTTATGCCGTTTGCCAAGACTTGATAAGTCGCTCGTAAAACACAGGAGGTATGGAAACTAAGAACACCATATGTGGTAAATTGTACAGCTAATATAACACAACACATTAGTTGTATATCCTTTAACTGGTGGATTATGGATATATAGTTGCTGATCGACAGCTGGAACACAAACCACCAAATACAACAAAATAATTCAGATCCAGTCGTCATGACTCCACTCCGGAGGGATTCCCCGATCATTTCTTACAGTTTCTCATCAAGGGGGGGTCTCCTGTCCCCGGGACAAACACACTGCCTGAGGAAGGTTATGTGTATTTTTTTTGTCATTAACTTTTTTCGGACCACTTATTTATTTATTTTGGTGACGATCCGACCTCCATGCTGCTACTCTGGTTCAAACTGCATCCACCAAACAATATGATTTATCTCGACATCCCCAAAATAACAAAAATCTGACACGGTGTGAGATGTCTTTTTTAGCTGTTCGGTCGTAATTTCCTGCGATCTTCTTCATGCAGTCAGTCAAAATGAATGAATGAATGGGCGTTTCTTTTACTATTTATAGGCAAATATGGGCGTTACGTGAAGCCTGCAAAAGCTGCGCCGCATTTCGAGTCGATTGTGATTTATAAAAAAGGGAAACAGGCGTATGAAGTGCCGGTACGCACTTCCCTCGCCGGTACGCAATGTTTTGTGAATCGGAAAATGTCGGAACATTTCTCTACCTATTTTTTGCTTTGTACTACGTAAGCAACCTTCTCACGTCAATCCTACGCAAGGCGTTATAAATGAGGCCCCTGATCATTAATAGTAACAATTAACTGATTCTTATGCATTACACTTTCAAAAATAATTGATGCTGCAGCCCACTGACATGGTTTGAAATCAATATATTATCCATTTGTGACCCCCCACAGGACTTAAAAAGCACCTAACTACAGTAGATCATGAAAATCCCAAAGATCACGGGGGAGTACACCCCCGAACCCCCCTAGCATGTTTGGACCTCGGTATTTAGCAAATCCTGGATACGGCCCTGCGCACACACACACACACACACACACACACACACACACACACACACACACACACACACACACACACACACACACACACACACACACACACACACACACACACACAATGTATACATCACTTCAGGGGACATTACATTGACTTACATGCATTTCCTGGAGACTTATCCTAACCTTAACCATAACCAACACATGCCTAACCCTAACCCTTACCCTTAACCTGTTAAGCCCGAGAGACCCCGGTACCGGGGCACTGCCGCAACATCTTGCAGGAAACAGTGTATGAGGGCATGTTCATTTAATAAACTATGAATGTTTTATATCCATGTAACGGGAAGAAACTCAGCTAACTGATCTTTTAATTTTTTTTTCCAAAAAAAACCCACAATGCTAACACTCAGCCTCTGAATTAGCCACGAGCGAAAACAATTTAACCTATCTCTGCAACTAAACTCACAATAACTCCCTTATTACTTATCCTAGATGCACAGCCAACCACTCGTTTTGGGTGTCCTGGAGACACAGAATCGTTTGGTGCCGACCTCAACACTCAGTGATAAACATTTGCGACGCTATAAACGAAAGCGTACATCATAACATGTGGAGCTAGGTAGCTAGAAACGCTAACATGGCTTACCTTGGTCAAAACTGGTCTTCAATGGCATTAAAACGATAAAAAAACGATGCTGCAGTTAATCCATAGGTTAATCCAATGTGTCTGTGTATTCTTTGAAATTATTTCTGATAATCCATAAGCAATAAAACTGCTTTTTCGTTTCCAAATGTCAGAGGGAGAGATCGGTCCACTCTGCTGCACATTTACATGCGCGCAGCCCCCACCTTTTCTCTTCACAACGTGTGTGTGTGGGGGCCTCCCCCTTCGATTCTATTGGCTCTAACGGTCAGAAAGAGGTGTCAACCATCCAAATCGAGCAAGGGGGGCCAGAGATATGGAAAACAACCCATTTTCACCCAAATCACCTCAGAGGTGGGGTGGTTTTGGCTAAACCTCTCTAAAAAGGTCAAATGTCACTTGTTTTGCATCAATCTTGATACAGGGTACTTATTGTACTTTGGATTCCTAAAGCTTTCAGTCTACTAACCCATCATCCAAGGGTAGTTTTCACTATAAGTAAAAAATTCTTTTTGGACGGACACTATAATTTACAGTTTTTTACTATGTAAAATCTGAATTTTCTTTAAAATAAAAAACATCTATATTGATTCTGACTTTTCTACATCCAACTCACAGGTTTATCATTACTTTGAGAATAAAGATTATTAATTTAACCCTTTTAGAAGGGAAGATATGGTCATTTGTTCTGGGAATGTCATTTTCGAGCCTGAGACCTGAAAAACAGGCTCAGGGCTTAACCTGTTACGCACCATCCGCCCGGCACCGGGCGGATAAACGCGTCATTTGCAGGAAACAACGTCTAAGGGATCTTAATATTTAATAAACTATGAATGTTTTATATCCATGTAACGGGAAGAAACTCAGCTAACTGATATTTTTTTTTTTTAAATCCCCAAAAAACCCACAATGCTAACACTCAGCCTCTGAATTAGCCACGAGCGAAA